ATTCACAGTAAAATTAAAATAATTAATATATAACTCAAGATTTAACAATTGATGCAAGGAGAGATATGGTTATGGAAAATGAGACCAGAGAAAGTAGCTAAACTGAGTTTAGGTTATTAATTACCGGCAAATACTCGAGCATGAGTGGAAGAAGGAAGGAAGAGAAGTGTGGAGGCCCAAATTAATAAAACAATTAGAATAGCCTTCTTCATTGTTATAACAACTCTATCAATTTTTGGCTTTTCAAGGCTCATACAATACTAACCCATCGTCTCCATTTTTAATCTCGAGAGAGGCAAACACATAGTTGAATTGTATACTCCATTTATACTCATCTAATCCTATTCACAAGGTAAAAAAAGGAAGCCAATTTAGGTGCTCATCCAAAGGTTGTCCCATCCAAATTGTCCAGATATAATCTGGATGGTCCTGATTTAGTGTTTTTTTATTTTTACTTTTTTTAAAATAATTTTTTTATAATGAGTATAGAATATAAAATAAAAATAACTTCTTAATCATCACTTTATCAAAAGATGATTTTCTTTATTTAGAAATAATTAATTTAAAAAAATCCTATTTGGATCATTTAGATCAAATATGAATGATCTCGATAGGATGAGCTTTAGGTACTGGTTCTTTTTCTTTTTTGGGTGAACGCTTTGGGTACTAGTTCTGTAGAGAGAGAGTTTTTTTTTGCATCTTTAATTTAAGTCATCTTATTAAATTTATTATAGCAATACATACTTTTACTCTTAATTTATTGTTTTATAAATTGTTATTTTGTTGGAAAGGGTGTGCGTGTATAGATATATATGTTAAATAGGCCGGGGTAAGGTTGAAAACGTACTAAATTCTAATACAGAGTTGATGAGATTTAAGATTTTTGTTATTTCTGATAAAACATGTTAAAGTGTCTTATATATAAGACTACAGGAGTAGTTGATAAAAGCCATGACCAGAATCTTTGAACCCATACTTGATAACCTCTTCATTTATATTGATGACTTTTTGCTTTTTTGACACCTATTTCTCCTTTCTTTGCCGACAACATAATCCCATATTTTTCAATTATTTTCCCGAACTGGATCAATAAGAGCTTATGGGAATCCTCATCTCTTGAGAAAAGCAAAAGGTCATCAATATAAATGAGGAGGTTATCAAGCATAGGTTCAATGATTCTGGTCATGGCTTTTTGGAACAGTGATGAGGCAACTTTGAGTCCAAATGACATAACAGTCTATTGGTACTAGGCATTTGGAATACAAAAAGCAGTTTTTGATCGATCTTCTGGGTGGATATCCAATTGCCAAAAGGATTTATTTCTTCAATTAAGACAGCTCCTCAAAAGTCATCGCTGGCATCAGTCTGGAGGATCCATAGTCCTTTGTCAGGGATCTTCAAAGGAGGTGGTTGCTGTGCAATTCTTTTGAGAGTTTTGACAGCTGAAGTCTGCTTTGTCCCCCACGCAGGAGGATTCTTTTTGAGAAGTTTGGACAGCTGGCTAGTGTTATTAGACACATGAGAGATAAAATCTCGAAAATAATTAATAATCCCCAAAAATTGTTGAATTTGCTTTGTTGCCAGATGCTTGTCTGGAAACTTGAGTAATTAAGATTTTTAAAGAAACTCTTGTATTGACCAACCATTTTAAAATGTGAAGAATGTTAAGTACTCCTACAGTCCTAAATATAATATCTATTTTGTAGTGACCGATGAGTATGATTTATTCTTTCATCGCTATAACCAATGGTAAAAAAAGAAAAAAAAAAGGAGCTAAAAGAGATATTAAAAATAATTTTATTTTGATGAGGTCATAGGAAGACTTGCTCATTGACCCGAGAATGAAAACAACATAGATGCTTGTGATGAGCATAAGCCCAAGGGGAGAGCCCAATCCCAAAAGACTAGCCTATTGGGAGGGAGAGCCCTTTGAACTTATAAACCCCACAACACTTGTGAGATTCCCCAATGTGGGACTCATAACAGAGCACCCCTCTCGAGAGGAGACGTCCCCGGCGGCTCCACTCTACGGCACTTCACTCGGTCTTCTTACCGGTCAGAACCCTCTGCAGGTAGCCCTTTCTGGTTGGCCAACTCTCAATGAAAACACCAATGTGATGAGCATAAGCCCAAGAGGAGAGCCCAATCCCAAAAGACTAGCCTATTGGAAGGGAGAACCCCTTGAACTTATAAACCCCACAACACTTGTGAGATTCCCCAATGTGGGACTCATAACAATGCTGTCACTAGGAAATTGATAGGGGTCAATGAGAAAGGAAATGAGAGGTAAAGAGATAAATTATAATTATAAAATATAAAAATTTCCACCAATATATGTATTATTCATGAGGCTAGTCCAACTTCATAGAATATTATAACGTAACTTATTATTTTATCTTGGACTAGTGGTACTAACTGTTGACATTTTTTAAAAAATAAGATATGATAATTAAACTGACTGCATCGTAGGAAGACTAGCTCATTGACTTGAGAATGAAAACAATTTAGACGCTGTTTCTTGGAAATTCATAGTCACTGTTAGAAAAGCATGAGAGAGAACGATAACAATTCATCTTAATTTTATAAAATTACCGTAGAATTAGATTAGTGTGCTACTTGCCTGTTGGTAGCTCGAATTATAAAGGACATTATCTGATTTCAGAAAAGTATTTCTGATTTCAGATTAAATTAGTATTTGAGGGACAAAATAATAGTGGAGGAAAATGACTAAAGAAAGTTGGATAAATTGCGAACATTATATATTGATAGAACAAATTCCTTTATTACGACTAAGACATAGAAGCAAGGCTGTTCACACTTCCTTTAGGAAAATTCCTATAGTACTTCAATTTGAATAGGTTTACAACAATTTCCAACTTTCAAAAATAGTATTTCAATTTGTTGGCAAAGGGATTTTTAACATTGAAAGTTATGTTCCATGTTAATTGAGTCCAACCTCCGTTGATAATTTGCCCTTCATTCTTGAGTCCAAATTCATTTGCTTTCGGTTTTTTTGGATCAGTAGTGCTTCAGTTGCTTTTATAAAAATATGCTTTGGCGTTCTCCATTTTTCTGTATATGAATCGCCCAAATTATATTAAGTGAAAGTAATATAAAATAATGTAAAAATATGCACAATAAAATTACATGATAGAAGACGAACTTCATATATTTATTAAACTGACTCGTAGCAAATAAACCATAGTCTTAATTTAAACCAATTAAAGTTCTTCAGTTCATAAGAATTTGCGTTATAATCCATTAATCTTTGAATTCAAATCTCGCTATTAAAATAAAGATTATGTTGGGAGGCGATCTATAGATATATCTATCTGTAAGTGCTTTTGGAGTTATCATGACTCTATTCATCTAAACTTCTTTTTATGAAAAAAAATTGCCTTAATTTGATGAGAAAAATTTGGGAAATTCGTAAAACAGTTGCTATTTGGAAATCTTATAATCCTGTAGTCCTAAATATGAGACTTGTTTTGTAATGTAATTTAAAAAAGTAGAACATAAACAGTACCAGTGCGTTACTCTATAGGATTTCATAGATAAAGGTGCCAATATTCAAATCCAGGTCCTGCTAATAATTAATAAAATTTTCAAACAAAGACTTGACTGTGATGATGTATAATCTTTACTTATAAAAATAATAAAAGTGAGAAATAATATTTAGAAATAAACTACGAGTTAAACTATCTTGGAAAACTATTGTTCAAACAGTATGTTATAAACACGATATATTATGATTTATTTAATATATGATGATGAATATAGCGTGTTAATGTATTAATTTATTTTTAAAACGAATACAAATTGGATATAAAGATAGTTTCATTGACGAAAAATTAAGAGAACATAAGTTGGATGGAAAACGCTACAAAATATATTTAAACCTAATTATATCAATATAATTTACTCGTTAATTTTAGGCAATACAGTTGTCAAAAAGTATTATAAAAAGTAAATGATAAATTCTAATGCAGAAAATGAGAAAAAGTTCATGTTGCTCAACCTAAAAATGCCTTAATATGTAAAAAAACGGGAGAATTGACCAGTTTTGGGCTGGAGAAGATTTGTTCATTGACTTGAGAACGTAGTCAGTTTTACGGCTATTTTCAAGAAATGGATTTAAGAAATTGTGGATTATATTTAAATAATTTTACAAAGTTATAGTATATATATATATTTGGCGGCCGCGATTAACTAGAAATTTTGGCCAAAAAAGATTAATTATGACCTCGAAATGACGTTGTATTATTGATGTTGAAGATGGTGATATTATTATTTTAGGAAATACACACATAGGCACGCATATACGTGTATATGCATAGTGCCAAAGAAGAAAGTAACATGAAGTTAAAATGTATAACAAGAGACACATGACAATAATTATACAACTAAGGAGTAATTAATATTAAACTTCCAAACTGAATAGGTCACAGAAAGACTTGATCGCAGACTTGAAATTAATGAAAACAATTTAAAGGCGATTTCTAGGAAATGGGTATTATTTTGTATCGTTTTTCCTTTAATATAAGTAGCTTTAAAAAAAAAGATGGTAAACATTTGTTAATATGAAATAATTATTTTAAAAATGTTGGGATTACGAATTCCATTTATGCATGAAGAGTCATTTCTTGAACATTTAGAGTGAGGAATGGTCACTTTCTTTAAATGTTTTTAACTGTTTTCTCATAGGGTTCAGCTCGTGAGAAATTTTCCTTGGGGATGATTAGAGAAAACTAAATTGAGCTACTTGCATAAGGAGAAAAAGATGGCCAGATAAGATTTAAATAATATAAAAGAAAAAATTGAACGCATTACTCAAATATGCTATACTTAATTAACTTAATTTAATCACTTTTAATTGATCAAATTCCAACATTTTTTCCTCAAGTGATGCAATAAATTCAATAATTCAAGATTTGGACCATTTCCCTCGGTTTTTCTTTTTCTTCCCAGAAGTAACTCAATGGATTAACTAATTAAAAAGATAGCCAAAAGGCCAGGAGTGGAGTTAATTCTTTATTTCAAGTACAACACCAGCACATAAATTTAAGAATTACATAATTCTCACACTCAAAGTACATAGAATTCATGAGAAACCTAAACCTCGACTTCCCATGAAATAATCTAGGCAGGAAGACATTATTCCTCAAAAGGGAAATGATAACCAAAGGCTGAAACAACACACATGATACAGAAACATGACAGTAATTTATTTAATAATGGATTTTTAGGAGATTGTTATTATGATCTCCACCAAGCAAAAGGACTATATATTATGATTATTATACCTTATACATATCATTCGTATATTTCTTTTATTTCCTACTTGTGACAGCCACGCACATAGGGATTGCAAGGAGCTTTTGGAGGTGGCCTTTGACAGCCACGCGTATAGGGATCGCAAGAAGCTTTTGGAGGTGGCCTTTGTGGAAGGCAAGAAGAATAAGGAGAACCAGGAGGACATTTTATTGCAGGCTTATTCTTCTCCGGCGTTCGCGAGGTTACTGATGTCTTTTCTGCATCGTCATCATATATAATATTTACATACAAACATCAATATAACATGCTCATCTGATTCTATTTATGTAAGCCATGTGATTAAATTTTTAACATGAATGTACTGTTGTACTCTTTGTTTATTATTGCGTATAAATTATTATTTTCTTGAAAGGTATATATACTATATAAAGGTAACGTAAAAAAAAATATTAAATTTTAAGGAAGAGTTAATAAAATTTAAGGAAAACATATGTTGGAAATAAATGATTTATAAATACGACCATAGGAGTATCAATTTAATATATTCAGAAATCACAACGAAAAATAATTAATGAGCATAATAGTAATTTCACAACTGAGGCAAGATGCCAGTCACAGTGAACGAGATTGTAAGATGATGATGATGACTATGATGATAAAGCAGCAGAACAAACGAAGTTGAAGTTGTTACCTTGTAATAGACGTGCATGAGTGGGAGAGGGAAGGGAGAGAAATATGGCAGAAACCCAAATGAGAAAAGCAATTAGAATAGCCTTCTTCATATTTTACAGCAATATATGACTTGTGATTTGGCTTTTGTATATACCACACTTGCTCTTCCTCTCTATTTATAGTCTCTAGAAAAGAGGAGCACAGTTGAAATAAAGGGCTTTCAATTGGTACCAGTAAGTTTGACTTGGTCGTAGAAGTTCTTCAGTATTGGTTTCTCCCAATTCCCACCCACCTAAATATTTTGCTTCCAAGAATACTAGCTAATTAGTGATTATCTAATTAATTTGTTCTTTCATTTAAATCCAATCAGAATATGAACTGTTGTTTGATATTATGCTCTTAGACTCATTTAATTAATTAAAAAATTAAAAAAATTACTTAATTATAACATATTTTACATAATATCTTTAAAATACCTATACATATTATTAGATTAGTTTAAAAAATAAAAATATTTCAGGGTAATTTATTTATCTTTTTTAATGTTTCTAAATTAGTTCAAGGGAAAATTCCATAAAAAGCCTTTGGAATATAGGAAATTCCAGATTGGGTCAAAAAAGTGAGTAGTTATTCTCTACACAAATCTAGGTAACGCTTAAACTCTTATAGTGATTCCTTAAATCATTGTAGTAGGGCACAGTTGTCAATTCCTCTTGATTTTATAAATAACAAATTGGATCATTGACCCTTTCTGTCATTTTCAAAATTCCAGGACCCAATTTGAAATTTTTTATATTCCAAAGGTTTTTTTTGGGATTTTTTCTTAGTTCAATGAGTTTTATATTAAAAATAAGAGATAGTATATTAAAAAGAAAAAACATAAATTGACTTGGTCGTACCTTATCTTCAACACATGGGTCCATCGACCTTTTGCTTTTTATCGTTTTCAACAAACACATCCTAAATTCAACTCCTTTCATTTACGACCAAATTAGATGTTGGCCCAATTGTAGGAACCTTCTGGCTCATTGACGCCTTAACTGTCTATTTTGACGGTGAGTACTAGAGAGTGAAATAGAGGGCACGGTGCACTCCAGTAATTTTGTATGCTCACATTTCACCGCTCTACCATTTATTTGTAGTCTCTACTCTAACGAAAAATAAAAATTAAAAGCGAAGAAATTGTGAGAAAATCCCAAAATATTTTTAAAACTATACTTGAGAAATAAGATCAGAGGTAAAATTATATTTTTATTCTTTCTTTTTTTCAACTATTACAAACAGGCAAGCTGAAGCCTGAGAAACGGCAAAATAAAGTCAGTTATGAGAAGTTTGTTGAAACATGTTATTATTCGCTAAATGGAAATAAATATTTACCATAATTGATTAACAAGCAGCAACAAGTTTTAGCAAATGCCACATTTGGTAATTTAATCTAAAAGGCCACTATTTGAGAATATTTATTACGCATTAGCTATTTCTACACTTTATTAACCAACTTTGCCCCGGAAAGTCTCAGATTCCCGCAAGGAGTGTTGAGTTGGCTTTTTTTTTTTCAAAAAAAAAAAAAGAGGGCACTGTGATATGAAATTATTAAAATTAGAGTCACTGGTTTATATCTTTTTGAAATTTTAAGAATATTTTTTTGTGATTTTTTTTATACTCTGCAAGTCGGCAAATAAAGAAAAATATATTTAGAAGTTATTTATAGTCCTGAGTAAGGAAAGAGAGAAGGAAAATTAAAGTTAGAATTTAAGGCTTTTTTGGTCAACAAAGGAAACTGATTTCTAATGCATATATGTAATTGAACTTCACATAATATCTACATATCTATATTTCGGTATACGATACAAAGCTGTACTCTTACCAGTATATGAATAGTCAGCTCATTTTTTCTTTTATATAACTATTTGATATTTGATCGCGTCCAAATTAGTATCATATCGTATCGAGCCTAATTAGAGGTATTTCTCCCAAAGCACATGCTCCCATTTTAATTAGTCCTCCTTTTGGTCCTAAATATATATGAGCTAAATAATTAATTTACAGAAATTGAAAAATTAGTTAATTATATATGAAAAATGTGTACTAGTATTAATTTTTCTAAAATATTTTTTAAAACTATTTGTCTTAATATTTAAAGAAAAGTCCAAATTGACGTACATAGTTATCCAAGGACTTTCTGCCAGGCGGCATACCCGCACATGGTCGATCAAACAACTGCTGGCAAGTCAGTGTAGTTTTTTTCCCCCCTAAAGACCTCATTTGGTAGATTACAAATAAATTTTATAATTAAGACTAGATGTAGTATAATTTAAATATACGCACGTGCATAAATATATCAATATCAGATTTGAACCTGAAATTTTATCCAAATATGAGGTGATATTATTGCTGAGACAACTGGTCGTTAACTGGGTTCACATGAAAAATTTTAGGATAAAAAGTTTCAGTTATATGAAGAATAGTTGCTTGAAAATTACTAAACAATAATGAAAAAAAATATATGGATAAATAATTAAAGTGGACTTGTGAGTTCTTTTCCCAAAAAAATTCCGACTTCTTTGTGTGGATATTATGCAGATAAATTTCTTGACACTCAACATTTTAATTTGTGATAAAATTATTAACTGAAAGTTATATATAAAGTACACTCCCTATGTTTCTCATTATAAGCAACAATTTCTCTTACGATGATTCATGATATGAAAAAAAAAAAAAGGATGATTCAATTTAGTTAATGCTTTTAAAATTATCCCATTTTTAATATTATGCTTAATTAGTTAATCATAATAAATACTAACCCAATCTTTTTTTTACTTTTGCCAACAAATAAAAACCCAATCGAACTCATATATTTTAATCCCTCTGTCTAACATTGAAAGTTATGTTCCATGTTAATTGAATTAAAAGTGTATTCAATAAGGGGTGGTGAGGATCCATATATTTTGCATCTTAATTACATATTAAGCTTTTTTTTATACAATAATTACATGTCAAGCTTATGAAGTAAAATCTTTTTACAGTTAGTACATCCGTTAGATCCAACCCACAATAATAATTTACCCTTCATTCTTGAGTCCAAATTCATTTGCTTTCGGCTTTTTTGATCATAGTGCTTCAGTTGCTTTTATAAAAATATGCTTTTGCCTTCTCCATTTTTCTGTATATGAATCGCCCACATTATATTAAATGAAAATGATATAAAATAAGGTAAAAATATGCACAATAAAATTACATGATAGAAGACGAACTTCATATGTTTATTAAACTGACTTGTAGCAGATAAACCAAAGGATATCATCCTCTTGTCAAGTACAATACGGCCACATACATAACTTTAAGAACCTCTCACACACAAAAACACAGACAAATACAATACACAGAATTCATCAGAAATGATAACCAAGAGACAATAAAAGCTAGAGAGAAGATATTAGAAACAAGTAGTTTCTCTCTCCACATGCGCAAAACGACCATTAATTTAACATTTTATATGATAATAATCATTATTATTAGTCTTTTTTTTTTTTTTGCTACTTCTTGCAATTCCGTTTATATGGGCAAGGTTTTGGTTTTTGTTTTGTGCACGGACTTTTAAGGCAAGATACGTAAGAAGAACCACGAGGACATTGAACTGCAGGCTTGTTCCTATTATTTGTTGGCGAGGTCACTGGTTTGTTAACATCTGCAAAATATCATATAATAATTACAAACGTATAACTTCAGTTTAAATAACCAAAAAAAAAGAAGAAAGAAAAATGAATATGTAACTCATAATAATTTCATGGTTGGAAAAGGTGGCAAATTAAACTAAAGTGAAGTATTGAGTTGTTACCATATAATCCACGAGCACGAGTGGAAGAAGGAAGGGAGAGAAATGAAGAAACCAAAATGAGAAAGGCAATTACAATAATAGCCTTCCTCATTGTTTGAGAGAGAGTAGAGAAAACACTAACAATAATTGTCAATAATGCCTTTGGTATGCTCCGCACAACACTACCCCTTCATATCTAGCTATAGGCTTCAGGAAGAGAATCGAAGTTTCCCATAAAAAAAAAAAAAGAATCGAAGTTGAAATTGTCAACAATAATTGATCTGTGAGTTTCCCGGTTAATTCCATCCAAAAAATGACAATATATCAATATTAAACGTAAGACTGCAATTGACTTTTCTGTCTAAATTTATAATTTTGTTCTTAAAGTATTTTTCTTGATTGCGTATATTAGGAGCAGTTTCAATCTGTAAATGAATAAATGGGACTTTTAGAAAAAAAACCAACATATATATTTTATATATAACTAAATTAATTAATTTTCTTCATCTCTATAAATTTGCTGTCTGGCTCTATAGTTATGACGGGACGGAATAATATTTTAAAGAAAAAATATATATATTGCCAAAGAAGATAAGAAGTTCAAGTGAATTAACAAGGTGCAGAGGTACATGACGAAACAACTTTTGTATTTTTCAATGTGTCTGTATTTTTAGCCTCTAGATAGAAATCCAAAGTTGAAATGGTCAGCTATAATTAAATATTTTATTTTCAATAATTTTCTTTAATAATTTCATGTTTTATTGATTTATTGACTGGGACCCAAATTAACTAATTTTCTTCATCTCTATAAATTTGCTGTCTGGCTCTATAGTTATGACGGAACGGAATAATATTTTAAAGAAAAAATATATATATTGCCAAAGAAGATAAGAAGTTCAAGTGAATTAACAAGGTGCAGAGGTACATGACGAAACAACTTTTGTATTTTTCAATGTGTCTGTATTTTTAGCCTCTAGATAGAAATCCAAAGTTGAAATGGTCAGCTATAATTAAATATTTTATTTTCAATAATTTTCTTTATTAAATTTCATGTTTTATTAATTTATTGACTGGGACCCTAACAAAAACTTTACGTTGATGGAAAACAAGAAATATATATGAATGTGTGATGAATATGAGATGTTTAGCTCATCTCCTTATCCATTTTCTTCTTTTCTTTCTGCTCATCTCATTCCTATCATAGGATCAGAAAAATAAACGGCTGAAATTTACTATTTTATAAATTCATCATTTTTTTCTCGTTTCACGATTGTAAACTATCCAAATTAAATTTTAATATTTTAAATTAATTCATATTTATTTTAT